GGGAAACTAATGGGATATTAATGGAAAAATATGGGAAACTAGTGGGAAACTAATGGGATATTAATGGGAAAATATGGGAAACTAGTGGGAAACTAATGGGATATTAACGGGAAAATATTGGAAACTAGTGGGAAACTAATGGGATATTAATGGAAAAATATGGGAAACTAGTGGGAAACTAGTGGGATATTAATGGGAAAATATGGGAAACTAGTGGGAAACTAATGGGATATTAATGGGAAAATATGGGAAACTAGTGGGAAACTAATGGGATATTAACGGGAAAATATTGGAAACTAGTGGGAAACTAATGGGATATTAATGGAAAAATATGGGAAACTAGTGGGAAACTAATGGGATATTAATGGGAAAATATGGGAAACTAGTGGGAAACTAATGGGATATTAATGGGAAACGAATGGCAAACGAATGGCAAACTAATGGGATACGAATGGGATAGTACAAGTAATGGATACTATTTACTGCAAGCCACCGATGATTGAAACCTATGGACTATTCAAACCTTGACAAACCTGACATCTCAGGTGAGTTGATTGAAATGCGAATGAATGCCATGGTTGAGCTGTTGTCAGGGTTTGTCAGCACATTGCATGTGGACAGAGACACCAAATAAAGTACCATGCGCTGGCTTTGCACTACCATCAGAAAATGTGGTTCGAACATACACATCCGGCTGCACCTACTTTCAAAACTTTCTGGGACAGATACTGATGATACTGCCGCAAAAGGCCCGTCTTCAGATGTGAGGACTTTTTCAAGACCCAATCAATAAATGGCACAAAGCCATATCCTAAACCTCAACACAGTGTGCAACTCTGTGCAAATTCTTGGGAGCCAGACCACCACTGCCCAACAGCATGATGGACCTGGCGATGGCGACTGATTGGGGTGGCCACTGATCCACCACCAGTTGTAAGTTGTAAGGCCTGAAACTTTCTTATGGTACGTACATCATTGTGTACTAATTTTCTTATAGTACATCATTGTGCACAAACAATCAACATCAAGATGTTCAATCTTTGTACTTGCCGTTCGCACATTCCCTTTGCTTACCATTCGAGCAATCACTCTCGTGGGCACAATGCTAAGATAAGCAACAAGAAAGTCGTTTTGACGAACAACGAAACAGAAATGATTCCCATTTAAAGCTGGACCAGGTGGATTGGAAGAGAATAGATGATTGAGTGCCTGTCTTCCGAAATCAATGCAGAGTTGCAGAACATGACGCAGAGTAGGGAACCAGGCACCGAAGCGTTCGAACTCAAGCCGAGGTCACTGATACTTCGCAATGTCCGAAGATGTTCTGGCGCATGCTTCAGGTGCTTCAGGCGCTTCAGCCCCAAATGCCGCACAACTAAGCGGCAAGACTTCAAATGACATCGTCAATTTCTTGAGACTCTAGAGATCGGAATTCAGATCCGGCATCCAAAATAGAAACAAATGCTAAAAGGATGACATCAAGCTTCTTGGGCGTTCAAACTGTCATGCAACGATGAAGCGGACGTCACTCTCCCCCTGCTGTCCTTGACCCAGCATCATGACAAAGCCATGCCTTGGGCAGTGAAAAAATCTTGCCAACAAATCTAGACAGCCAAGGCACTGAAATGTGGGGTTAAACTTGCAGATGCTCAACCAATGAACTATACTTGTGAAGTAGCCACTTCTCATGCTAGCTATACACGAACTATAAAATATACAATAATATACACAAACTACTTACAAGATCTTACAAGTACTACCTTCTAAGCTGCTGCTCTTGGTGCTGCCTGTCCTCCATGCACACACACACACAAAACACACACATATAGACACAGACACACATGAGTGCCTTAGTAAGCTGCCTATCGCACCTGTAGGACGACTGAGACATCGGGCGGGCAAGGAATAGAAGCGAAACTTTGGGTCGCCAGGGTCCCCGTAGACGTCCTGCACATCATCAGGGGATGTGTCAGTCTAAGGTCCCTGCGCATAGTGGTACCTCTCCTGCCTCCCGCATCCTCATTATCACCATCGCTATCACCATCACCACCACCACCATCATCATGATCACCACCACCGTCGCCAATTCTGGAACGCACACTTACTTCACTATGATGTATTATATGACCAGTATACATCAGTATACGCAGTATATATCAGTATATGACCTGCCTGAAAAGTCTCAAGACATTCAAGACATTCTGAAAATCTAATTTTTACATTGAAAAGACATGAACATCGCGTGAAAAAAAACCTGCTCCTGCACTGGCACCACAAAGGTGCCACCACCAGGAGGAATCGGACCTGAGGACAGCAGAACATGGTTGGGTAAACCAAGAGCACCATGGAAACTGAAGGAAAACTGTATAAAAATGTGAAAATGGATGAAAATTGGATGACAATTGGATAAACTGTTGGAAATGTTGACAGATGTTGACAGATGTTGATAAACTTTTGACATTTCCAAGCGACAAATTGCAACGTTGACGACACCCGCGGCATGAGTGAAGTCCGCAACGTCCGAACAGTCGCTGCCCTGAATCTGACAGCGGTTGTGTCGCAGTTCTGTGGCGTTTTTTGATATCTACCAGTGGTCTATCCAGATTTCTACCAGAATCTACCAGAATGAATTGAAGCCGATTTGTGGTTGGATCATGTTGGATCATGTTGGATCAATTTCAGTCCGATATTAATGAGAATTGCTGAGGGGATTTTTCGGGGCCATGGACCACACTGGACCACAATTCAGTGATGTGACGGGGGATGCCATCCATCAACCTTCACCATGCCTGCCCATCACGATTGTAACTCGCGCAGTAGCACAAGCGAAGTGCCATTGGCCGGGTCAACTCCAACAGCCCCAAGTCAAACCTGACATGTGGCTTTTGGCTCACCTATCATCACCTATCGCATGATTTGGTGTCTGGTGTTTGCCCCAAAAAAATGATGTTTGAAGTCCAGAAAGATCGTCGCCGGGCTGGATATTGTGTCAACATCCCTGGTCCACTGGATTCCACTGGTTAGATCTGGTTAGCATGTAATCATTTCGTCAACCAGAACGAAGCTGGTAAAAATGCCAAGTTGCAGGCCTGGCAGAGGACTGGTTGGCCTCGGCTGCCTGGTTGAAATCAATCTTCGTGGCAGTGACCAAGGGCTTGGGTCTGGAACAGCTGTCCTGCGCCGAATGCACTGAAGCAACGTCCAAGCAACATCCACGTACGTCCACCATGTGGACTGTGGCAACCAGGTGTCTTTTCCACAGTTTTTTGAGGAGAGACAAAAAATTAGAGTGCCTTTAGACATTGTACTATGTGGTTAATGTACTGTTAATGTACCGTCAATGTATGTTAAATACTGTGGCAGGCCAGTATCATCCATCATTCACAGCAAAGCAGTGCTCCTCTGGTCCCACCAGGCGAACCTGCGATGGAGTGGATCCCATCTGGGATCCAGGGCGGGGCCATCCTGGGGCATCCTGGGGGCCTGGCCTTGTCAGAAATGGAGAGGTTCACGCCGGTCACCACGAATTCACAGGTCTTCCCGGGCACACAAAGGAACCTGGACGTCACTGGTCACTGGTGATATCTGGTGATCCAGGTCATCCAGATATGTCCAGATCATGATCTTTGAATGGTCATGATCTTTGTTACATGTTAAATATGTTATTAATTGTTATTACTTGGACAACAACACAAATGGTCACCGGATGTGAAGGTATTTAAGCGGCCCTGGCAAATCTACAGACAGGACCTGTTTACAATTCTGTTTACAATTCTGTTTACAATTCATTAAAATCATGATGTTCTGTGGTCTTTCACCTGCCATCTTCTCTTCACTTGTCAGCACATCCTCTGGGTGAGTCTCAGGTTGATGCATTTGTGCGGGGTCAGCTCCACGCACTTCCAGACTTCCCATCTGCAGGGCTTGGATTGGGAACACAACCGACGCCATGGACGTGCTGACGTAAGTAAATTAAGTCATGAAATACAATCAAGACAATATCAAATATTGAATCTATCCTTTCTAATCTAATGTATATCTACTAGCAAAATAGAGTTGGGTCCCCACAGAATCAAGCCATACTTCAGAATCTGAACATATCAAATTTGAAAAATTACCAGAACTGACTTGCAGTAGATCTTCAGGCCCCCAGAAAAAAGTGCATCCAACTGCCTCGTGATAGAAGCCAGCAGCACCGCTGAAGCATTCACCACGGCTATCTAATGATCCGTCCTTTGCTGAGGGATCCAGGATAGGGGGTGTGGACAAGCTATGGAAGTTGGAATGCGTTGTCTTTGTGGAAGAGAATGGGAGAGTTGTTAGTGCATCTGAGCAAATGAAGGCAAGTCATTCAACGAAGCTGTAAAAGCAACCATGAAATATCGCGCGTTCTTTTAAGTTGGCCTAGCGAGGCTTATCGGGTGTAGTTATACATACCATTGTCAGAGTCATATTGTCATAGATCATAATATCTGGTGTAAATATATATATATATATATGGTATAATATGTATGTATATATATATATGTATTGTATTATATATATATATATGATCCACTCTCACAGCGCCAGCATAGCCATTTCTTTTCATGCAAGCACTCAACGAGAATGGTTTCAAGGTTGAATCGGTGATACTGCCGCTGAATGTTGCACACAAAGAACTTTGCTGAATGTGTGCTACTGCGCTCCCCAGGTTCAACACCACGAGTGGCGGTGGAGGGGAGGAGGTGGTTGAGCTTGAAATGATGCCAACGGCGTCATGTTATCTTTCCATCATTCCCCAGTAAACATAGTCCATGATCCACTCTCACAGCGCCAGCATAGCCATTTCTTTTCATGCAAGCACTCAACGAGAATGGTTTCAAGGTTGAATCGGTGATACTGCCGCTGAATGTTGCACACAAAGAACTTTGCTGAATGTGTGCTACTGCGCTCCCCAACCCACTGTCACTAGTGTTCTGTCAAGATGGTGGCAATTTGATGACACAACAGCCATGGATAGGGTTGAGCCCTGCGGGTCATCCATTGACCTCCTGAGTCTTTGCCGACCAGGACAATGTGTTTTCGGTTGGTAAAAGCGCAGCGACCACAAACGGTGTGACATTCACATGCTAAGTCCTTTAGAGAGAAAGGCCCACCAAATAAAATTCCAGTGGCTTTTCTCCATGGCATTTGAAAAGCACAGAAATCAACACGAATCATTGTGAATCTTCGAATCCAGTCGGCCAGTTGAGGGGTCAACCAAATACGACTAGTCCATGGGTTTTCAACAGCCCAGCAAATGTTGAGAGCCACGCATGTAGATATGATGCGCTCGGTGACTGCGAGGAGCAAATTGCCCTCATTAACTTTGTCTGCATCTGACTTGGAGAGATCGGCAAATCCAAAAAGATTGTCTGCATCGTCTCTGAGCGGTCTGGGTCCGCCATCATTCTTTCGTGCACGGCTCCATGTTGTGCAGGGTGTACCAAGCCAAACCAAGACTATGTCATGTGATTTTTTGTGAAGAAAGCGCAAGATCTTGTTCAAAACCTTGGGGTTCAAGACATCACAAGCAATACCATAGTCAATATCATATGCTATAGAGATAAGGCCAGCCGATGCGCATGCTTGAGAAAGCCTTGCACATCCACTGAAGATCTCCAGAACATATCTAGGTCCAGCTGAGGTGGTCTGGTTCACAGGCCGAAAAATTTTGGGCCCGCCTTCACTATCTCCTGCTCCGCAAGTTGCGCCTTGTTCTGAACATGTTTCGGCAGATCGTTGAACTCTTGGTTCAGTCTGGCATGTGCTTCGTATCTTCGGACCGTTGAGTCGGCGGCCCATCGTCCGCGTTGTTTCACTTCTGTCAGAGGTCTCAACTTGAAGAAGCGATCGTGTGAGGGACCTGAGTGCCTTAGTTGATATAGCACTGCATGGTCCTTGGCCAGTCCCAAGGCTTTGAGAGCGCCCTGCCACGCTTGGACCAAGTCGTAGTAGGTCAAGCTCAGGAGAAAGTTGTTTGGGGTCTGCAGCCTGTTCAGAGCTGGGCCCAACCATGGAAGCAGCGGCGAATCCAGGAGGATGCTTTCGTCTGCCAAGCCCACCTTGGATCTTTCTTGCCGCTCTGCAGGATGCAGTAGCAAAGACCAGTGCTCCTGTCTTGGCATCGGCGCCACCAGGTCTGTTTTTCTGAGGTCCAACACTTCTCCTGGTCGGAGATATGCTGTGAAGCTGAGGAGGATTGCTGCTGCCGCATGCAATTGATGGCGTTTCATCATGTGCATAGTCATGGCTGCAACCAAGGCCCAAGGCAGAGGCGGTCTGGTTCGTTGAGGCTCCAACTTCAGCCACCCTTGAAGGGACCGTCTGGTCCGGGCTAGAATGTGCTTGGGGCCACAGCCTGGGAACGTGTCGCACACGGCTGCGAGGAACTTTGTGCCTTCTGCCAGTTCGAAGCCTTGATCGAACATGTAATTCATGAAGCAGTTGCAGGCCTCGTCTAACTTCTGTGTGTTCTTTCTCAAGCTGACCTGGGGCATCTTCTTCATCCTCAGGAACTGAAAGAAGCTCTGCATTCTTCGGTGGTAGTCTTCGGCCACCGGCTGTGAAACAGCCATAGTCTCCAGAAAAGTCTGATTTTGGAAACGTTTCGGTCGCTGACACTGTTGTTTCAGCTGCTGTCTCATGGTCTTCTTTTCTTCGCGGGTCATGTTGAGCGACTTCTTGGGCATGTCTCTTGTCATACGTTTGTTGTGGGGAGCATCTGGATCGGCCATCAGCAGGCCTTGCACCAACTGGACCTGCGGCTTCCTCTTTCTGGAAGGCGCTTCCGCCAGCAGCATGTCTCAGGTGCTCCCACTGTCTGGAAGCTGAGTCAGCGACGTTTCGTTCACTAGGCACCCATCTCACTTGCAATGCACTGTCCGTTGCAAGTAACAAACATGCCAAACGTCTACAAACCCTGAGCATACCAAAAGTGCCAGACCTACCCTTTGAGCAGAGTAAAACCACACTCATATTGTCTGTAAAGTGCAAATGTTTCATGCCAAACTGCTGTGTTGCCCGAAACTTGTGCCTAAGTGCAGCCACCACCCCTCTGCCTTCCAAAAGAGTGATGTGCTCAGCATGTTGCATATGGATAGCAAAACACTCGGCCCACTGATCTTTTTGCATAACATCTTCTTCTATGTCAGGAAAATCAAAGTTGAGCTCATAGGGATCACTACGCTTCACTGCCAAAGGCTTGACCGTGCTGGGATCACTAAAAGGGTCACCAGTTTCAACCAAAACTTCGCGAGGTCTCACCGGATTTCCACTGACATAACGCCAAGTTTCCCTAACACGGCCATGCCTCGCATCCTCTCTCACTGGCAAGTCGCGTGAGCACACGGCCACACCTGACAGGGAAGCATCTGAAGTGGTCACCATAGAACTCCACGGTCTCTTTAAACTTACACTGCACAATTTAAAAAGATGCTGAGCCCAGTTTGCCTCTCTTGCCGCCGAAGCCCAAAGTCGCTGTCGTTTGTTGTAAGACCTAGCTACAAAATCATATAAAGATCGAAATATAGATAGGAGTTCTCGTCGCAACATAGCAAAATGAACTGCATGTCCCAACAGCCGTTCAACCGCCTTGCCATTGACGCGAGGACGCGTAGCCAACCATCCAAACACCTGCAAGACTTTTGTCCAACGATCTGGAATGGGTGTTATGCAAAGTTGTTCTCCATCTATCAAAAAACCAAGAGATTGTGCTAGGGTAGTGGCCTCTGTCTCTTCATGGACTCGGAAGCCATGATGTCGTAGCCTGGCAACGATTTCTTCCTTGACTTGCTGAACTCGCTGCTGGTCCGTTCCAGCTACATTCAAGTTATCTGCATAGGGTATCAATACAACCTCGCCTTCAGAAAGGTCTGGAGCCGGTCTCCCCTCCACCAAGAGTCGAGAGGTGTCCAGCGACGAAGCCTCCAGGCAAACATTCTGGTGCACTCTTTGTGCAATGTACATGGCCCAAGACCATCCCATGGGAATGACCCGACATCTCGGCCATACCCACCCTGAACTATCCACCAAACCATCCCCTGGCATTGCAATACCCCAGTCCCGCAAATACTGCATGGAAATAGGAGGGAGGCAAAAAAGATGTTGAAGATCAGGAGGTAGTTCAAGGGAAAAGAAATAATCTCGTATGTCTGACTGAGCCACATACAAATGCTCGCCTGAAGGCACTTCCAGTTGTGACCACGTTGAGCCTGCCGCCAAAGCAAGCGGAGGTGGATCTCTGAATCTTTTGTTGACGCCCCTGCAATCAAGAATGAAACGCAAACGCCCGTTCTTCTTCACCACAAAAAACGGGGTGACTAGATCACCAGGCCTCAAGGTAAAATCTAACATGCCCTTGTCCACCAAATCTTTGATGAACACGGCATAGAGTGCCGAATCGGCCTGGAGCCGCGGGTCCATGTATGGCTGGAAGGTTTCATCATGCTCAACCATCTCCCCCCACTCCTCACTGTCTCGCAGCATAAAAGCTAGGGGATCCTTGACAAGTTCTCGACCTCGATCATCCATCACCTGAGAGAGCGGAATGGGTTGATCGCCACAATCAGGGAGGGATACCAGGTCTCGGTCATAGGGTCGGACCGTATTCGAGGTTTCTTCACCATCATAGGTGGAATTGGTTCGCAGAAGCTCTTGGACAGCCTCTTGCACTGTACATGGTGATGTCGGAGATTTGAAACGACCTAGTTGCTTGTAAATACTATGCTGACTATCACGTTGCGCTAGAGCAACCGAAACCAGATGGTCTCCACTTATCTGTGCACAATACATATCATTGAGACAGTCAACTATTGAATTAGCCTGCTCCGCCTTCTTCTGCACCTTGATGCTCCGTCTCTTTGAAGAAACCGAGGAGCCTCGCCGCACATCACAGGGGGGCAAAGGTGGTAGTGGAAAAAGGTCACGCCAGCGACCAATTGAATCATCTTGGACCTGGCCTCCTTCCACAAAATTGCGGGCCCCAACATGGTGCCCATCCGCAGCTCGATCACCACGGCAGCTGGACTGAGCTGCAAAGCCCAGCTGCTGTCCACCACTCATTTTTGATCACCGCCGCCTCCACCCTGAGCACCTTTCCCAGGGTTTTTGCGGCGCATGGATTGCTCTTCACGAGCCTTTCGTGCCTCTTTCGTGCCTCCTTCGCAATGGCTGCCTCATCCTTAAGAGCCTGAGCCACATGTGATGCCAGCTGCATGTCGACGCCCTGTGCTGAACGTCGCCACTTCCAGCCCATGAAGTGATCTGCTGATGAGTAATCTGGGGAACTCGGAGAGATGCGATGAGCTTCTCTGATCACTTGAAGTCGACGGCAGATCAACTCGGCACCCTGCAGGGCACAGATGTTGAGCTGGTCCACAGTGATCAATGACTCCAGGATTCGACTCAAACATTCATGCTCATATGTGCTTCGGTCTCCTTTCGGAATCTCGGCAGACCTCAACCAGTACTCGTGAAAGGTGGTGGGGGTCAGGTTCTGATCTCGCATGCTCTTGACCAAATTGAGTGATGAGGTGGGACCATCCAATTGAAGGCCTCCACCCTGAGGCACACCATCTTTCATGGAAGCAACCGCATCACTAAATTCTCTTCGCCTCACTCCTTGACCATCAAAAACCACAGGCAAAATTCGAAGATCATCCAAGGCATAGCGCGCCACTTCAGCCCGCGACACCTTGACAAAACAAGCATCCGCACCACCAGGACCAGGCACAAGAGCCTTGTTGCCCATGAGCACATGCCCTACTGGAAGTGGATTCGGATCTTCACAAATGATCTCCCCTTTCTTACGGCCTGCAGAGTCTTCCATGGCCACCCATACATCAGCGATCCCTGCACCCGCAACCACCGGCACTGCCCCAGCCCCACCCAAAGCTCCTGGTGGAGCAGCTGGGGCAATTGGTGCAGGAGGCGCAGGAGCCGCCGGTAAAGGTGCCGGTCCGCCAGCTGCCAATGGAGCCATACCCAAACCAGCTCGAATGATGTTGGCCGCAACACGTCCATCTGCCAAGTGACGCGCCAGTGAGCCAGGATCCATTGGAGCAAAACCATACACCTGACTGGCAGGGATATGTCTAGGAATATGTGCGTGCGAGCCCAAATAGATGAAATCAGTAAGGTCCGTGCTGCGTGGAGACATCTGCTCCTCATAGGAGTCCATGTCTGGCGTCAGCACCATCCAGCAGTCAACGCTGGTAGGTGCTAACGGGAGCCGCACATGATAGAGAGGAGGCACCTCTCCGTAGTTCACCAAACACAACTGTCCAGGTTCCATCATGATTTCTTCAGGACACTATGGATAAGACTTGACCCTTGAATCCCTTCTTGCCTTTGCTAGGTGACTCAGACGGCCACTGACCAATATCCTTCAATCGGTAAATCAAATAGCCAGCCCCGCCACACATCAACAGCACGACCAATAGAAAACCCAACAGAATCAATCCAAACCCAGAGTGCTGCTCCCTTGAGACACACTCACAGGTGCACAGACAATTGCAGGGTGCCACTTTGACCTCCTGAGTTTGAACCAAGGGCCTCAATGTCCACCCGAGAATGAATGCTGCACCAGGGGCGATCCAATGTTCCATTGGGACGGTCCGGGATTTTTTGAGCTTGAAATGATGCCAACGGCGTCATGTTATCTTTCCATCATTCCCCAGTAAACATAGTCCATATATATGTGTATGTGTATATATATAGATTATAGATGTATATATATATATATGTATGATATATGTATGATATATAATATCCATGAACTACTGTGCCTCTGTTTCAAAAAATGCATCTTGAAGAGATCCATCTGAATCTGATTACAAGGCGAGCTTCTGGTGAGTCAGCGCAGTAGCAAACTTGGTAATTGCCAGGTTGTTCCAGCCTGCAGCACGTGTGCAGGCGCCAACAATGAAGGCAACCCTCCCATTACAGGGTACTCATGGGTCCACCACCAACCTCAATCAACTCAATCAACTTTGGCCAGTGATGACCATCCCGCCTTTGTACTGTCCACTGCGCTACACTGGCAGAATCAACAGCGCCCCAGCGGGTCACCTTCAGCAGGAAATCTGATGCATTTGGATGCTCAGCTGGTTTTCCATGGCTGACTGTCAATCTTTGAAGATCTTTGCAGTGCCTTTACCATGGCATCTCCTATTTCAGTGACATAGTACAATTGGACCACGTCTGACTGCGTCTCCAAAAACATCCAAAAAATAAAATCAAATTGAATCGCTCCAATACACAAGCAACAAGTCCAACAAGCCATCTGATGTGAGCTCAGTAGCATTGCTTGTGGAAATGCTCAAGGGCACTGGATTCGGACCTGGGCCATCCCAGAACAGGCAAGCTGCTCTAACATTGTAAGATCATGGAGCCACAAGCCCTAATGAATCACTAATGAACATAATGAGCGTGCCTGCAAGAACGGATCGGCATTCAGACTTCAAGACTTCAGTGACTTCAGTGACTTCAGGTGAAGTAAACCGAGGGAATCCAACCATTCTTTGTGATTTCCGATTGGCCACCAGGCTGATACCGAAGGTGGGAGATGGCTCCACCTGGGCAAAAATTGGGCGTGCTGAGCTGCACTGAAACCTTCCCAGAAAAAGGTGAGTCGCGGAGTATTGCTATATATTGCTATTCAACTCAACTTGTTTATAAGAGTTGTCTGACCAAACAATGTACCTTTGCGATGCTTCTTCCATCTCTCCTATGGTGTCCTTTTCCTTCTGCTCTCTCCCATCTTCGCCTTCTTATCCTTCTCCCTTCTTCTCCTTCTCCTCCTTCTTCTTACTCTTCCTATTTGTTGGTTTCAGTTTCTTATTCATCTCTTCCCAATCTTCCCATCCCAGTATTTACACGTGCTAGACTGCAACAAACACCGTTCCGGTGTCCTCTCAAAAGCTGTTCCTGCCTCACCGCAGGATGAATTGCCAGTGGTGGTAACGGGGATCACCAGCATCTTGTCCTGCAGAAAAGTTGTCCCTTCTGAACCTAGAAACTACAGTAATTAATTAATCAAGAAAGTCATTTTCGTCATAGAGGCCAAAGACATCCAAAGATATGAAAAGTTGACGCTTCCGACACTTCCCAGTCCTGCACCGCCATGAGTCCAGTCCCTTCCACCTAAGACCAAAAATTCACGGAGGGAATCTCCGTCAGGGTCTCTCCAAAGGTTATGGTTACCATTCGGCAGGATCCGCACCCATCATGAATTGCAGCTTTGAGTGCAACACAAGAAGCCATGAGTCAATGAGAGATTTTAAGATCTTCGTACATTTCGCCTAGATGCGAAACAAAACCAACACTTGAAATGCAGCTCCTTCTAGAGAAACCAAGAATCAAGGGAGGCACAATGTTCATCAACTGTACACGATCGACAATGCCGGCGTTGCAACTTATATGATGGCAACATCGACGACTCTCTAAACTCCTGGCCAAGAGTCAACCTCTCTATCTCCACTTTTCGAAACAAATTCCAAAGTCCATTTTGGAAAAGTTCATTCAATGTAATTGATATATTGATATTATGTTTTGCACTGTGATCTCAGCCAACTTCGCTGTGCCTGACATTCGCAAGCCTGGCCCATACCGTGCCACCCCTATTGAGCTCGACACCGGCAAAGCGCACTCGGCTTCACCGTCACCCTTGGAGGATCTCACCTAAGAAACTGCCATGATATCGGCCTGACCGTCGCCATGTTGTCTCCACCGTTTTACAGCATGTCTACATCAATTGGTACCAATGAATAAGGCATAAGGAACTTGTAATCTTTTATATATAATTATATATATACTATATATTATATAGATATTAATTATACTAAACTGATCTAAACTGTTTCAGTACACTTAGGATAACTTGCAGTACGAACCAAGGGCCAAGCTTTGATGTTGTCAAGATGTGTCAAGATCTGTCATCGCCAGTTGCTGAGGAAGTGACGCAGCTATAGCTGGCTGTGTTGATCTGCTGAACCCCGCGGACATAGAGGGTGCCAGCCTGACCGTGAGCAAGAGATCGACATGCGATGGCGCAATTCAAAACCTATCAATACGTCGTCAAATTCCATCATATTCACTTGTTCGACAAGAACTGCAATGATGTTGGGGGAGTGCTACTATGAACATGTACTGCTTGGATTGCTCAGGCTTCGGATGCATCTACTTGCAGTAGGGAGGCACTGATGTGAGCAATACCAGAATCCCTTTGTTTGCCGAGTAAACTCCACACTTGGCTGATCAGCTTTCACTATTTTCACTTACTTTTCCATGGATCATCGTGGATCCATCCTGCATGCTGAAGTCGGCCGGTGATTGACAGGGCCTCAGCAACCACACAATGGCAGAATGTCAATTCACTCTTGGAGTCGGGGAGCTAAATTCGATTTGGCCAGCAGGTCCGCAGATGTTGTGGACTGCAAAGGAAGGTGATGCGTTAAAATTCAACATCGGCAAATTTGCAACAGAGGAACCTGCTCGAAATTCCAGATTACCATATTACCACATCTTGCGAAATGTCTGACCAGGAAGGAGCACCCAGAATGTCCCAGTTGTATCCAGTTGTGGCATTTTCTCAGGCAGCAACACAGAACTGCCCTGGGAGCTGTAGCTGGCGCAATAGCAAAGCTGGTACCTGCTGTAGGTTACCAGCAACCTGAAACGTACCAAATGGATCCAAATGGCACCAACGGGAAAACTGAACCAAGCAGCCAGAAATGATCAGAAATGCATATGTTTCAATATGTTTCAATGTCTCGTTCCTCTCTCCCCCATGGAGCATGCGCACGTGCCAGTCTGCGAGGCGGTACCCAGGTCGAAAAAGAATTGTTCAACCGAGTCCTGTTCCATCCGTTGCTTTGACATGCCAAGGCAATGTGCAGCCTTGTTCCAAGAGGCCCTCAAATAGTCTTGGCAGTTGCACCTCATGTTGTACACAAGCGACTTCTACGAGTACCTCAAAATGACGTTACAGAACATCTTCCCCCGTCATCCATTTCATCCACCATTCATCCATCAGTCATCCATCACTCATCCATCATCTACAACACTTGGCCCTGCCAGACGGTCCTTTGAGGGCAAAGTTGCAGGGTTGTTGATGAAGTGGCTAGATGCCTTGGTGAGAATGTGAAGGGCTGTGGAGCTTGGAACTGAAAGTGGTCCAAGCTGTTTTGCACGATTCAAGAAGCATTTTTAGGAGGATAAAATTCGGATAGAGACAAATGTGTCACAAATGTGTCACAAATGTGTCACAAATGTGTCACAAATGTGTCCTGTGGTTTCCTCTTGGAGAGTGGCATCAATGTTGGATTGCAAATGAAACAGCCACCACCTCCGTCACGAGTTCCCTGCCAGTTCTATGTAAGACTAGTGATTGGGTGATTGGGTTCTTCCAAGGCACGCCAAAACCCACGACGTTGGAATCGTAGCAGCTGCCTCCTTCAATGCAAGCAGCGGATTGCAAGAGAAATCGGGCACTTTTTTTCTGGGACCCACTGTTGGCAACCCCCGCCTGCACCATCCTTCACCAGGAGCCCGTCCCAAATGGACAGTTCCACACCGAACAGGGCCACTGTGCAAGCCTTGTAAACCACCTAGGCACTGTTGCTGATTCATGATCTTGATCATGTTTGATAATGTTTGATAAGGTTTGATAAGGTTTGATAAGGTTTATTTTTTCTGGTAATGGAATTACCATCAAGAATAAATAATCCCAACCCACAGCCATTTTTGCCAACTGGGCATTGCAAGGATCACTCTGCCTTCATGTCTACTCGAGGTATATATTATATATATATAATATATAAATATAAGAAGCAGAGACTTGGCACCAGAAAAACATGGAAACACCCTCGAAGAAATGGAGCGGCACCGGGTTCCCTGACGCAGTAAGCTGCCAGTGAGCTGCTTGGTCCACGTACTGTCAGGGTTCCAACCTCAGCAGGTGCACGCATGGATAGGTGTCAAGACCACAGGGTTTTTCATTCCGGCTGTGGGATCGGCAAACTGCGCAGAGCACCATTTCGTGGCCATTCCGGGATCCCAGGGATCCCATAAGTCCCATCATTGCCATGAGGCTCCCAGCCAAGCTGAAGAAGTCCCGGGACGAGCCACAGTTCCCACTGTGCCGGGGGTAAGGGGGCACACTGACACGCTATGAGATCTTGACTCCCTGCTGTTTAAAGGAAAGAGAATTGGAATATACAACCATGTGCAACCTCTCGCTACAATTTAGAATGACCTGAAGTGACAAGTTCCCAGTTGCTTTCAAAAAAAAAATATATATCGGTTTCTGTGGCCGAAGAAGGAAAATAGAAGGAACGACATGCACTGCACTTGGCAAAGGTAAAGCAAATAGGTTAAACGGAAGAATCCAAGTTGCTGCGCATGATTGTTGACCAGGTGGTGAACAACATGTGAACAACGTGTCTAGGCTATGTTCACTTTTCATGGACAATCGGCAAATGTCTTTATTGTGAACAAATGAATCCTTGTTCTGGATGTAGTTATCAATTGCGATACCTGTTATGCTAGTATTGCCGGACACTGATGATGCATGGCAAGCGCAGCTCGGACCCTTTTCCTCGCACACGGACTTGAGCCAGTACGGCGTCCAGATATACAATTAAGCATGTACATCACAAGTGTCCTAGTGTTCAGTTCCCTTTGACACCCCCCATGCCCGTGGTATTCTTCGAACCACGGACACGAGAGAGGGAACTTTGAATTAGATTGGTTCTGCTACTTGAATTACGCCTATTTACATAAAACATGCCATTCGGCTCCCCCTTCCCCACATACCCGAAGGGAATAATGGTTCAGGGTTCGCCTACTCTATGGCTGTCGATGCATCGGCGCTTCATCAAGCTGTACAACGCGAATTATTGCTAGCTAACATCTAATTTTCTACGTTGTCTAAGCTTGCCACTCACCCGTCGGGAGAAATGGGTCACTTCGCTACCAAAGATTTACGATGCTAACTAACGAATTCACGTGCACATTGCAGAATTTCGTGCAGATTGGGAATGTCAAAAGTCTTGAACCTAAGCGAATTAGTCTACTGCCTCGCTCAGAGTCCACTCAGTTGGTCTTTTCCTGATCATCTGTTTACACAGACGATAGACATCTTGTAGTCCAGTGACCATTTTGACGGACAGAGGTAATGGGTTCACTGCTCACGGCGGACTTTCTTCCACTGAGGTGTTGATGGAGATTTCTCCCATCCTGCCGCACGTTTTGGAGCAGCTTTCGGCGATGAGGGCTTCGCAGGCGGTGCCTTTGATGGTTCATGGGATTTCGGCATAGCTTTAGCCTTTGGTGCGCTTGCCGATGGGGATGATGCTGAACCAGTACCTTCAGGTTTCTGTGAAGGTTGTGCTGACGATTTGGCTTTCGCGTCTGCGGTGGCAAACTTGGAAGCGGCAGTATGTCCGACTGCTTTGAATACTTCACTTACCACTTCGTCGCCAAGAGTTGGAGCCATCTTCGTTTTCATCTCGGTCTTTCCCCTCTGCGCCTCTGCTTCAGCCAGTTGAATAGCATAAGCCATCTTGCTGACAAAGTTTTGAGGTAAAGGAATGCCACATTGTTGGGCTGCAAAGAGTAGTTCCACTCTCTGTTCCTTCTCTCTCAGACTCAGATATACCGAGAAAGCTGGGAGTTCAATGCAGTTGGGGAAGCCGTGGCTCCCGGAGCGAAAGAAGGTGTATGATTCGTGTTCCGGAAAGGTTCCTTTCAGCAGTCGTCGAAGAAAATTGCTGATGGTCACTCGCATCTCCTGCTTCCCTTGGGCATCAGCCTGCATTCGGTTCATTGGCATGAGGAAACCTAATGATTCGGGAGTGTACCCGGCGCATACCAGAAATTCCATCATCTTTTCATAGATCTCCAAATTCTTGATGACGGGCATCATCATGTTTCTTGGTCGTCCTGAGTACATCTTCTCTCCCTCTGACCATGAGTTCCTTTTCCCTTTCTCCTGAAAGAGTTCATCCAATTCCAGCTCTGTCGGTCGCTTGAGGTTGCCATCCTGGTCTTCGCCTGTGTATGGGCAGAAGTCGTCCAGGTCCAGCCGGACTCGCTTGGTTTCCGTCATCATCACATGGTACTCC